GGACCTAAACTAATCGCAACGCTTTCTCTATTCCTAGAAGTTTCATCGTGCATAAACGTACAGCTTTCTCCATAAGGACAACCTTCTTCAGTATAAAACTTCTTACAATGCCTCCTTTTAAAAGATCTCCCACACTCTGTCGACGACGATACCAAAGACGGGATCTGAAACTCCTCTTTCGGCTCAGGCGTCATCCTCTCCTCTTCATGAGCCGCCACAATCTCTTGCCAATTCGCCGGTGGACGACGAAGCTCCTCAACAGTATGAGCGAAATTACAATTCGTCACATACGGACAAACCCCAGCTCTGAATTTACAACATAGCTTCGTCTTCAAAATCTGGATTCGAGGATTAATGAGAGGAAGTAAGAGGAGATGCGAGTGTCGAGGGCAAATCAAACAAGGGGAGAGATGTTGGGTTTGAGAAGATGATGAAGACTCAACGTGAAAGTGAACACAAAAATTAGGAATTTCTAGAATTTTTTTTTTACTTAAAATAATAATTTCTGGGTTTGGATCGGATATGTGGTTGGATCATGTAATATCTCTGATTCATTAAGAGTTCAGTTGTAATTGCTCACGTTTTTATTAAAAAAAAAATAGAAAAAGTGGCATAACTAATTTAGGATTTGGTTTTTGGATTTTTAAAGATTTGGACCCGAAAGTAACACATTCATCTACTATTTTGCAGGAAAACTAAGGGAATGTGTTCCTTTATTGCTTAAAACAAGGAAAGTATTTTTTAACTGCGACCAAAATTTGTCCTAGAAAAGAAACATACTTATATTTTACAAATGCCGTAGAATGGAAACAGATTATTCCATAGGTCTTAGACAACATTGTGTTGTCTTTAAATGCAAACAAGAAAGCAAATAAATCAAATATCTAATCCTATTCCTACCAGACAAATTAAACCCAAGAAAGAAAACAAAAATTAGTCAATTCCACGACGGAAGAAATAATAAACACAAGAGAATACAAATCCAAGAAATTGGAATGAATTGCTTCTTTGTTCCATTTGGGTTGGATTTTCTCCTTGAACCGCCCGGTACGTCAGGTCAAAAAGAAGGATATACAGGAACGAACGAAATTATTCTTTTACGTATAAAATCTGAAATCGCGAGAGTTCGATAAATTTCTGTTTATACACCTCGAGATATGGGATTAGTTCCGATACAACAA